CAAACAATGGGAAACCTTGCACTCCGGATGTGGTAATTGATGAGACTTGGTTTTCTGATCCAACTTTCTGTGAGAAATCCAAGGTATATGTATGATTTATCAATTATCATTACCTTTACTTTGTCTGATATATATATACATAAAATATGAACTGGAGATCAATTTTGAATTATCTAAAAATGGCTAAACGCAGTAGTATATGTGTATTATTATCAGCTTTGGTATATGCTTTCAAAGACATTAGCTGAGGATGCTGCTTGGAAGTTTGCCAAAGATAATGGGATTGATTTGGTAACAATAAATCCAGGAGTGGTGATCGGTCCTATTCTACAGCCAACTCTTAATTTCACTGTTGAGCTCATATTGAACATTGTCACTGGTAATTACCCGTACATATATATAATTGCAGTTATATTGGGGAATAGTAGCAATTGTTATGTCTATAATATGGTCTAGTCTGTGCTGAAATGTGTTTTGCATGCACTATGCAGGTCGGGAACTCCCACCATTTAATAGATTTGTGGATGTTCGAGATGTTGCATATGCTCACATTCAAGCATTTGAGATTCCTTCAGCCGCTGGCAGATACTGCATAGTTGAAAGCGCCATAGACGTTTCTAAGTTGTGGAAGATCTTGCATCAACTTTTCCCTGAGTTCCACCTTGATGAAAAGTAAGTTGAATTTCAATTTCTTTTTTCACACTGACTGCATCAGATATCATTTTATGTTTTTATAATCTGATTGATTTTTTGTTTTCACAGATTTGAAGATAAGCCTATTAAGAAACTGTACCAAGTATCCAAAGAGAAAATTAAGAGCTTGGGTGTCAACTTCATTCCTTTGGAGGTGAGTCTCAAGGACACTGTTGAGAGCTTGAAGGAGAAGGGTTTCATTAGCTTCTGAATCTCAACCATTGACTTCACTGTTACCAACTTCCTTTTTTTCTCCACTTCATTCAGTTTTTATTAGTTTTTCAATAAAAATCATGTGGCTGTACCAATAAAATTGACATTATTATCAGACAAACCCAAAGGGAGATTCCCTTATTATTTCTAAAGCATTTGTTTCTATATGGAACATGCATGTTCATATTATTTAGTAATATATGACATCAGATGCTGCAGAATCCAGTTGAAATCTGCCATATCATCTTTTCTTTATCATTTCAGTTCTTTGCAATAAAAACAAAAAAAAAAAAATACACAATTTGCAGAAATGCTGAACCACTTCACTAAAGTCCAACAACCAAGCAACCTCCATTGATTAGTGACTGCATTATGAAGAGGAATACATCTACACACTTTGGCAGTTTGGCCTCTCATGCATCTGTTTCATTTTTCTTGAATAGCATTTGTTAATT